GGGGGGCCCGAAGAAAAAGTTCCTTCTGTTCGCCCCCATCCCCACCCAGACCCCATGAAATACAACTTGTGTCCGTTAATCTGTTGTATACAGACATATTTATGACTTTATCGGGGCTGTCTTTCGGTGTTGTTACTTGAAGTTGTTGTTATTACTGTCGTGGTTGTCGTTATTATTTTCGTTTTCTCTGATCCCCATTGTGTGCACGCACACGTGTTTAGTTTGTAAGTTTGGTTTGAGTTTTACGGCTCTCGCAAGTGCATAAGGTCATATGAGCGCGCGGGACTCAAGGTGGTTGTTTTCATGTAATTTCTCAGCGTTCGTGTTTGGTTGCTTGCTATTTTTTCCCACGTTGTCCTTGGACCTTCTTATTCTGTTTATTTAATGTGTAGGCCGAATTTTTTTTTTATGTTTTTTTCTGTTTCTGATAACTAGATATCCGTGGGGGGTGGGGGGGTCTCTTGTTGGGTTGTTGTTGTTCGGGTTGTTTGTTTGTTTGTTTTTGTGTTTGTTTGGGGGTTTTTTTGGGGGGGTGTTGTTAATTATTATTCTATTTAAAAGTATGAATGCGTTCGAACTGTATCTCATAGCCTTAAAGACTTCCTCGTGCTCGCAAACTGACACTTAATAGAATAGAGCCAATAATGCCATGTCATGAAATGTGTGCTCAGAGCAATAGCGGGTATGTTTGAGTACTGACTTGGAAAGTGTTGCGCCGTCAATGCAGAAACTGTTTCAATCATCGGTAAATATATCCTAACGATGTCGTGTCTACAAAAATGATTACCTGCCCGAAGCAATCGCTTTTACAAACGACCACTTCCCTCCCTCCTCCTCCCCCAACCCCCCCTGAGTTTGTTTGTTTTTGTGGAGGGGGGGGGTTCAACCTTTAAATGATACTCCAAGAGGACCCCCTGTCTAAAATGACCACTTTTCTGGTCGACAGTGGGCGGCCATCTTGGACAGGTTCAACTGTATTTGCCGTTACTTTTTTGTCTCTTTGTGGCAGTGTGAGTCAGACATTGTTGTTTGTGGGTGGTTGGCGGATGCTCTGGTGTGGTTTGCTCCTTCTTTCCTATAAAAAGAATGTATCATCTCTATCTCCCCTCCTTCTTTTTGTGTTTGTTACTCTCTTGTAACACCTCTAATCCTCTGGCGCTCATGTGACCTTTTGCAGTTGCGAGCTCCGTAAAACCCCCACTAACACTAAAACTTAAAACTTGTACTAAAACTAAACATTATTTCTCGTTGTGAGTAGTCAGCATTAGAAATTGGACACCGAAAACGCACTTGCTATGACGTAGTTCTACGTGTGTGACATTTACTTTACCGTATGGTCCCCGCCGTTTTTTTTCCTCCCTGTCTTCTTGTAAGCATCTGATCTTCACTCTTAAGCAGCCCAGTGACAAATGACTGGATCGAGGGAGCTAGAAGAGGAGTTCAGAAGCCTCTATTACATTACAATTGTACCCACAACGTTTCTGGCATCTCACACTATTTATCAAAAGAGCTGTACCCACAAAATTAACGACGAAGTTTGTGGAGTGTTGTTATTCATCAGAGTGTTTTTTCCCCAAAGCTTCCGGGGAGTAAGTAAGCCGTTAAACTCGCTAACACACAAATGCAACAGCACGCACGTAATAACTTGAGACAACACTGGTATTGTTCTCTGTTGTGCTATATTAAGTCGCAGTTTTCCGCTGTATGTAATGCCACTGATGTGCTGTGCCGGCTCGTCACCTGTGCCTAGTTTCCGGCCCAGCGAGCGCCTGATGTGCTTTGTCGTGCGCCGCCTTCCCCTCTTTACCACGCCTGACTCGGCACAGATTTAGCCGCCGGATTAACCAAGTCTCTTGCATGCACTTGTAGTACTTTGTGGCGTGCGCGCGTGTGTTTGAGTGCACGTTCCTCCCAGAAACCACTGACCTCGGCTAGCCTATGCCTAGGCTGCCCACCCGGCACCGTGCCGTGCTGTGCTGTGACCCCCGGGTGGCCAGACGAGAAAGGGCAGACTCCGGGTTCAGGGAGAGGGCGCGCGTCGCAATAAACACCCGGGTCGTAAGGAATGAGTGAGGAGTGATTCAGGGTTGGATGAAGGAAGAGTGAGGAGTGAGTCAGAGTTGGGTGAAAGAAGAGTGACAGGGGAGGAGAGGTGACCTACCATCCGTGCCCGCCTTCCTCTTTTCCTGATAAATTATCCGAAAATGTTTCAATCTAGAGTGTCCGTACGTACGGGCTGTGTGATTCGTGTATGACAGTAATGTCTAGCTGTGCAAACTACTTGTATCGCCAGAAAACCTTTCTGACACGAAAGTTAATGGTTAAGAGTCATTAGGCCACATTTAAATGGCATTCATGACAGAAATGCTGTCCGTGACAGGAATTTAATAGTAGATCAGCGTGATGTCTTTGAACAGTCTTTTTTAATAGACCGCTCTCTTAGTGTACTTTTCGGAAGAGTTCATAGCAATTGCGTGTACAAAGACACACTACAGCATCATGTTCTTACTAATGAAATAATGAATAAAATGTTTCTCAAGGTGTATGTGTGTGTTTGTTGGGGGAGGGGGGTTGTTTTGTTGCTGTTATTTTGTTTTGTTTTTTAGTTGTTGGTTTGGTTTTTTTGTTGTTTTGGGGGGGGGGGGTTACATAATACATAATATCTACCACCACTGCGTCGCCCAAAAGACGCTGAGAAATGCCTTGATGATTATAGTTCCATGTTCCGCCTGCCATATAGTCGGTCATTACAATGTGCATTATCAGGTCTGAAAAGCGATCAGGTTTCACATACACTCTATATAATTCATGAAGTGATGAACGGTTACATGGGTAAAAGCTCCTGGATGTGGGGGTGGAGTAACCCGGGGGGGGGGGGAGATGTTATACACAAACTTCAGTCTCATCATACTCATACCCCCTAAAGAACGCAAAGTTCCATTGTTCTTAACGCTGTTGTGTGATTTACACTGGAACAATTCTCGTACAAGCCGTTTTCAAGCCTTTGATTTCTGTGTACCCAGGTAATGGTCATAGTAAAATATAGTCATGACTATGGTAATAGGTTTTTCTTTCGGAAATGACGCTGCTATATTCGGTCGTTCTCTCCGGGGGTTTTGTGGGTTTGAGTGCACACTCGGCTCTCGCCCCCGAGTGGCCTCCCAAACCGTTTTCCCTTCTGGTCAGTGTGATCGATAGGCGAGAGGAAGAAACTACTTTCGCACGTTACATTGTGTCTCTTGACCTCACGAGCGTTACGTGTTGCAAAAGGAGGGGGGGGGCAACACAGTTATACAGGTGTTTTCTATTTCCGATTGGGTGAGGGGGGTTGGAATTTGCACCGGTTCTAGTTGTCCTCTGCAGCGGCGCAGTTGGTTTTTTTCCATACTTACTAATATTGAGAAGGATTAGGTTCCACTCTTGACCCCCATTTCTCTCTCTCTCTCTCTCTCTCTCTCTCTCTCTTTC